GACTTATTTCACTATTATCAAAATGAATGTGTTTCACAATAGTGACCACTCCATGTTTATTTCTGATATTGCCATGTGTGTTTCAGAGAGTCCTTGAGCTAGAGGTGGCTGCAGTGGAGCACCAGTTCGTCTTCATTGATGAGGTTGGATTCAATCTCACTAAAAGATGAGAGGGGAAGGAATATTACTGTATTGGCCAGCGTGCCATTGTTGAAGTCCCTGGCCAGCGCGGAGGGAACATCACATTGTGTGCAGCGCTTAGCTACCCTGGCATCATCCATCACCATGCTACCCTTGGCCCCTACAACTCTGCCCATCTGATCACATTCCTGGACACCAAACACAACACACTCATTCCACCAGATCAGGTAGATGGCCCAGAACAGCCCAGGTACGTTGTCATTTGGGACAACGTAAGTTTCCACAGGGCTGCTGTGGTTCGTAACTGGTTCACTGGCCACCCACGCTTTTTAGTTGTTTAACTCCCTCCATATTCTCCATTCCTCAATTCCATTGAGGGTTTTTTTTCATCCTGGAGATGGAAGGTGTATGACTGACAGCCACAAACGCATATACCTCTTCTCCAAGCTATGGAGGATGCATGTGGAGACAGGAGCGAGCTGTTGTAACATAAAAACAATCCAATCCAGCTGTATGCAATAACTTAGCGTGACATACATGATATAGGTGTCACACCCTGTCCTGTCTCCCCACCCTATTCAGTCCTGTGTCTCCCGATTACTCCCACCTGCCTCTCGTTTTCCAATCACCCAAGCTCCCAGCCCTCATGTAGTTAAACCCTCTCAGTTCTGTGTGTCTTGTCGATTCATTGTTTCTATGTCCAGCATACTCCTTATTACAACTTTTAATAACGTTCCTGTCTACCTGCCTGCTTCCTCCCCAGCATTTGGATCCTCACCTCCGCTTCACTCACCTGCATCCTGTGACAACAGCACCTTAAGATAAAAATAAAGAAATAACTTATCTGCGATTTGGATGTGATCAGATCACTTTTGTTAAAACCTTTTGCTGTTGTTTACAGCAGGTGCTTTACTGACAACTTTATTTAAATGTGACAAATCTAGAGTAACAGGTTACATTTCAGTATCCTTTATTCCTAAATTTGATGCCATTTGTTTTCAATTTGCAAATGTTTGTTTTTACCATTAAGGTCAGAACAAACTGCTTTGATACAATTACAGTTCTTTTTTTTTTAAATAATTCACAAAATGCCCCCCAAACCACAATTTAAAGTTCTCATTTTGGGCATTTAAATTTTATCTGAATAATGAAACAATTCAATTTATACCAAACTTTAACAAAAAGGCCTGAAATTCCTGGTGGAAATGCATTAAAATTAGAAAAATAGGCCCATGTTTTTGTGCTTGCCAGTTCTATTTTACAACATAGACAATTTTAGTAACTCTCTTTGTTCCCAGATACTGAAAGCTGCAAAGAAAATGACACAAAGCAACAGTGAAATTATGATGGAGATGACAAAGACACACAGAATGGGTACCCCTGTGTGTGTGTGTGTGTGTGTGTGTGTGTGTGTGTGTGTGTGTGTGTGTGTGTGTGTGTGTGTGTGTGTGTGTGTGTGCGTATGTGTGTGTGTGCGTGCGTGCGTGCGTGCATGCGTACGTACGTGTGTGTGTGCGTGGGTGTGTGCGTGCGTGTGTGTGTGTGTGTATCTGCATGAGAGAAAAGAAGCTGCACCGCCTGTGCTGGCAGTGATAAAGGGTAATGAGTTATTGCATTCACAGGTACACAGCGCTCACATATATCACAGCTCTGTCAGCTCCGTCTGACTCGTGACTGAATATTTCTGCCTCGTCTCACTCAAAATCTGAAATACTGGGGTGTTTGACTTTGTGTGTGTGTGTGTGTGTGTGTGTGTGTGTGTGTGTGTGTGTGTTTGGAGATTAAACACTTCTACGATTTGCTCTTCTAGTTGGGTTCGATGATGACTCATTAGTCTGGCGAAGTGAGGGCCAAGATAAACTGACTGATGACAGGAAAAGGGAGAGAGGGGAAAGATCAGAGAAGATACCATGGAGGAAAAGTAGCTTATCTCCACCTTACCGTCTCTGAACGAGGCTGCCAGCCGACACTAATGAATTGGACTGTACCGCGCTAATGAATGGAGCCTACAGATGGGCAGAAGAAATGAAGGGAGTAGTGGGATGTCAAACTACATGAATGATGAAGTAACTCATAACGGGTGATTTTACAGAGACCTATTAGTCCTCCTGTCTCTGCTGGTGATGGCGTAATGAGGTACTCTAAGAAGAACAGTGATAAAAAAGAGTAAAAAAATACAGATTATTACACAATATTGTATATATATATATATATATATATATATATATATATATATATATAATTAGTCTAAATAATTGAAATAGTTTATTTTTTTCTGTCTGTAATATTTCACAAAGAATATTTTGTTCTCTTACAATTTCTGTTATGTAGTTCTTGATGATTGTTTCTTCTGCTGTCAAAAGCTTATGTACATTTTTAGTCATTTTTTTCCCTTAATGTATTTTTAATGCATTTCTATAGAATTCTGTTTGTTCAATTCTGTGGAAATTTATTAGATTCTGTTAGAACCATTCACAAATTTAGCTGAAGTTGACCTTGTCTTGATTAGATAACTCAAGACCTGTCTAAATATAAATCTGTTATGATGCAGATTGTCATGTGCAAACTCGAAAAAACCAAATAAAACCAAAACCTGAAAAACTAGAAACAAAGGCTGACAGGGCAGGAAACTTAACTCTCTGGAGGCAGGCGTTGCAGATTTGCAACGTTAAAACCTACCTACCTGGTTACTCCACATACGTACTGTATCTGATTTGTGGAGTCTGGGTTGTAAAATAAAGTTGGCTTTTTGGTAAACTACAGATTTGTTTATAAAACCATCGATTGCCAGAGTGCAGCATACAATACCCTTTTGTATGGGTTGCTCCCGGCGGTCCGGAGGAAGCACGGCCCGAGTGGTGAGACACGAGACAGTAGCTCCCTTTGAGTTCAGCTTCACTGGCCATGCAACTTGGGGTCTGCAGGTCAGATGTCTGAGGTGTGTAGTAGCTCTTAAAAGAGCTGTTGTGTCTGTATCACTCGCAGCATCACAGAGGCTTTTGGCTTGAGGTGAAAGAGAAGATGGTTTCAAAAATGCTTTTTCCCCGATTTGGCCGAATCAGAAGTCAGCTGGAAACTGATTTACTGGCAAAGTAATTCCTGTTTTATTAAAACACATTGCTTATAAATTTGGAAAGTTAGAATTTGACACGTTTGAAGGCATTATCAACACATTCCTCAGCAATCCCTCCTTCACTCAGGTCCTCAGAGAGATTATCTCTTTGTGTGAATGTTTTAAACTTATGTGAAGTGAATGTTATCATTACTAAATCTTATTATAATGTGTATGAGTACAGATATTGATTGAAGCACAGATTATTTCAACATTTGATTTAACACCTTGTTCATTCAACACATTTGATTATTTCCACTTGTAAGTTGTAAATCACGTAGGAACTTTGAGGTGGGTGACTTTTGTTTAGAGTGAGGATGCAGCAGTCGGACTTCTGCTTGGGGCTTTGAGCAAAGATGGTATGGCTTTTTGCAGTAACAAGAACTGTCAGAACTTTGTTTTGGATTCAGAGGCCAGACAGATTGTGTTTTCCTGTCTTCAAATGAAAGGTTACTTTCTGGTCATTTTATTGATGAAAATTTGAACACTGGTTCGTTACACAATGATCAGGCTCCCCACTACTATCCCCCGATATTAGTTTTTATATATGTAATTTTGTTCTAGATTTGTGATTTCATCTTGAGCTACTGGTATTATGTGAATTAGGGTTGTGTGTGCGTGAATGTGTGTGCGTGTGTGTGTGTATTGGGTATTATCTCATATAAACAACTGTATGAAAATGTATGAGACCCCAGGAAGACTAGCACCTGCACTTAGGCAGAAGCTAATGAGGATCTCAATAAAACGAAACGAAACGAAACTACCTGTCTGACCTACTCACTCGCTACCTCCCCTCTCGATCACTATCACCTCCAGCTCATCACTTGCTCTTCGTTCCATAGATGAAATACACATCCCATGGTGAGTGGGCATTCACCTTCGCTGCTCCTGAGCTGTGGAATGCACTTCCTCTGGATGTGCGCCTAGCTTGACACTTGTGCATTTGAAATCAAAACAGAAGTCACATCTCTTCATGTTGGTTTTTGGCCGGTGAAAAACTCCTACTGGGTATGTCTTTGTGTTTATATTTTACTGTTTGTTTTGCACAGTTTTTTGTGCTGTACCCCTTCTGTGCTACTTACATTGTGCTGCCTTGCTTTATGCCTAGGTTTTAGGTGTTTAACTTTTTAAATCTTTGTTTTTACTCTCAGTTTATCTGGGAGGGGTAAACTAGTTTTGCTAGTTCTGCTGTCCCTTCTTTGTCCAGTACTTTGGTCAGCTGACGTACTGTGGTAAAATATTCTTTCCAAATAAATATGGTGAGAATGATCCATAATCTTTCTTTTTTGTTGACGAGCTGATGTTACTAAAATGATGTACAAAAACTGAAGTGGGACCATGTACTTTACTGAAAAAGCAAGATTTAGAGTGGCAAATCAGTCCAGGAAACGCGGGGTAAAGTCTCAGCAGCTGGAACATTTCCAGCCATCAAGAACATTTTCATGGAAGGGAAACTGATTTATTACATAGAGTAAGCCCTGTTCTGTAGCTGCAACCAAGGGGCAGTTAAAAGTTTATTCTGTCTCCGTGCAGAAACAATGATATCCACACTTTAAAAAATGTCGCTGACGAGTGCACATTCATTTTCTCAAGGGTGCAAAACTTCAAACTACAGTGCATCCTAAATTATTCCCAGTTTTATTGTTACTTTTTTTACACTTTTGGCAGTAAAGTTTAATTCTAACTCATAACTCATGACCAGACAGCCAGCCAGCAAGTGATCATGCGAGAAAAAAAATCTGACACATTTTAAAAGTATATCTTAATATAAACATTTTATTCAGTGCATTTTTGTGTATACAACAAATAATAAACAACTGGAAGTCACCAGGCAGCCGTAGCATCTACCTGCTTATGTTTTTTTATCAGATTCAGCCTGATAGTTTGGAACACATTATCCAACATGGGTTAATACACATAGCCTACATCATGCAGCTCTAGTCCAGTATTTCCCCGCTCTCTCCCATGCAACAGATAGTTCCACCAGATACAAACCACCTCCAGAGGAAACCAAGAAAAGAAAGTCTTCCAAAAAGCATGTACCAGAAATAAGTTTTGTAGCTGAAGGAAAGAGTACATAGCCCACAAAAAGGGTCCTTTTTGTACATATCTGTGTACATGCCCTGTGCAAGAAAGGGAAGATGTTTGTATTTTTATGTTTTTAAATTATTTTTTTCACTTTTATAAATATGACATTTCCTATAAAATGTTAAGCCACCTAAAAGTCCACAGTATTTCTTTTTTATATAGAAAATATTGTCACCACAAGAAGTTACTCAAACACATAACAAGCATCCTGGGAACAGGCTTTCACCATATTCCTATGGTGAGTTTTATCAGTCAATAAGTGGACAAAGAAAAAGGAAAGCAGGGAGATTGAAGTATGACACGAACACAGAGAGAGGAAACAAATCACAAGGACAAGATAAACAGACATTGTGACACTGTGATAACAGGAGGGAATGGGAGCACTAAGCCTTTTCATTCTTTCTTCCATCATTGAGCATATTAGAGAAAAGCACAACATCATGCCAGCCACCACTTACTACATCCATTTAGTTTTTTTCTTTTCGTAAAACCTCGGCTACTCTTCCTCGCAACTGTACAATGGGGTGAAAAGTCAAGCTTTGCCTTTACTGTATGTTGGCTTGGTTTTCAGCAGCTTAAAGGGACACTCTCAATCTGTCTTTGGTTTGCGGGAACCCATCTTAAAAACCAAACAACAAATACTGAAGACCGGCATGGACGGAGAACAAGAGGGGATTCAAACAATAGCAGTTAGTGAAAAAACAAGTCTCGACTAATTCAGAAAATTAGCACAAAAAAAAAAATACAAAAAAAGAAGGTGCAGCAGTGGCATTTCTGAAATGAAAAAATAAACTAAATGAAGAAAAAATAAATCTGCAAGAGAGCCACGCTGCCCTGTATATTTCAGGTCAGTTGAGCATAGGCTTCATTTTTCCATGCTAAAGAGCTCAGGCTCTGAGCGTGTGCACTAGGACGCAGGAGCTACTGTCTGGCTGGCAGGTAGGATGAGGCTGCGCCAAACCAGGGAGTTTATAGGCTTTGCATTCACAGAAGTATGAACGAGACAGAGATCAGGGCTTGGACTGTACCGATGCAGCCTTGTGGACAAGCACCATCACTGGCTGCTCTGAACACCTGCATATCTAACTTCCTGTTCCTGTCTGACAGACGCACGAGTCTTCATGACCTATGAAAAACCATTCACATGAATGAACAAAACTAAAATGTGTTAACTGGTATGCAGACATTACCAAAACAGAGTGACCAAGGTCATTCATAATTAGCTCAAAACATTTTAAGTAACATTGTAAAAAGTCAAGGATGACCTATGTGCTGTTAAGATTCTCACTATAAATGCTGTTTTGATGAACACTGACAGACGAGGATGGAACCAAACAGTTTGTATTGATGGCATCTGGGTGTTTTATGTGTGAACTGTTGTCATAGCTAGTCCTGAACCGTTGATCGAAGAGACAAGTCAGCTTAGATTCACGCTCTGTGAGAGGTAAGGTTTCGTGGTTTTCGGGCCCCAGACCTGGGTTTGGCTGCCGGGCTACGTGGACTCGTTCTGGCTCACGGCTTTGCCTCCATTAAGGACCGCTGAGGCACTCCGACTCTTGGTGGGTGTGCCGCTGCCAGAGCGGGAAAACTCTGTCAAATCGTGGAGTGATGGTTCTCTGTACATCGCCACTGTGGAGAGACAAGTGGGGCTGAATCACAGATGTGCTTATACTTTAAAAAACCAAAAACAGAACAAGGAAAAAACAAGTGATGTGATTTATAGAGTACAAATGCAAGCGTGAGTCACAGAACATAGATTTCATAGGACGTAACTCCAAACTTGAAGCTTTATTGTGAGAAAAGCAGGGATTTCAACCACAGTTTAGAACTGTTATAGCATATCCTTTGTTTTTTCTGCAGTAAAAACATTACACACCAGTAATAAACGCATTAGTTTTAGCTCCGACATTCATACATACAAAAATACATGAGACTAATTCGGTATGGTGTTGTTAAAACTCAGATGTCTGGACCTAGAAAACGATGACTCGAGTTCTCTCATTTATTCAACGTGGGTGCCAGTGTGGGGTGGGCGTGGCTAAGTGATGAAAGCCAATGGGAGGGGTGAGAATTCTGTGACTGTGTTTCAAGCTTTTCTTGCAGATTTCCCATTGCAACATTATTGATATGTTTTGTTAGTAAATTTAAACTTATTCTGAAAGAAAAAGTAATGCCTCACTAAACGTTTTACACACTCAACATGGAACCAAAATGTAAAGGTCTGCTGCAATTTTATTTCTACATGATTCTTTTGTGTATTTTATTCCTTGAAGTTAAGAATAGTTATACCTGGTTTTCCTTTTGTTCCTAAACTAAAGAGAGTTTTTGGTTGGACCTTAATTTGTTTAAATGAATGTTTTTGTTTACCTTCAATTTTTAAGTGTTTAAAGTGATTTGGAATTCATAAATATGCTCAGTTCATTATTTGGGTCTTATTATTTCAATTATTTAGTGTGAATGTTGAACCAAAGGTGTTCAAATCTCAACAGCTAAACATACACAACAATTATATAATTAAATGACTGTAATCAGCAGCACATTAAATGACACCAAATATGGATGACTCCAATGCCTTGTTACAACTCAGATGCTGCACTACAATCTCATGATGTTTCAGCTAAGAGTCATTAGGAATACATAATCTGAGAGATAACACATGCATAATCTCTTAAAGCTATATGGGGTTAGCAGATTGTTTTACAGATTTAGCCAAATTGACATTGACTTCAGAATTTGGTGAAGTTTCAAACATTTATTTCAGATAAAGTATTTGGTCAAGACTGGCTCCATTTTGTACAAGTTTAGTTTAGGTAGACTTGTTGAAACAGTTTAAGTATATCTGATCCTAACTTTTTGCAGTTTTCTTTCTACTTAACTGCTGAGTACAGAGGTTATGGTGGACTAGCTGGATGCTGAAGCATGAAGTATGTTCGCAGCATTCCATTAGAAATTCAAGAGTTTCTAGTGCTTTAGCTTATGCAGCATTAGCTCAGTGTGCATCTCAGCATCTGCCTTTTCAGGATAAACATCAGTAATCTGAGGTTCACCGTCTTTGGTTTCAGGATGTGTTCAATTTCCTGCTGCCTAGAATGCTATTTGATGTTTCTTCCTGAGGGGGTCTGTGGCTGAACCAGCACATCTAGTGCCTTAGACACTTCCCTTAGACCAGCACTTTTGTTACAGCGGCAGCCCAGAGACCAGCATCAATCACTGGTTGGATTTTGCTGGTAAACTGACACAGATTGGCAGATGTTTCATGATTTCACATATTGTGTAAGCACATGATTTTAATTAAACGCTGTTAAAATATAACAATACCACCTACCAGTAGCAACCCATGCTTAACGTGTTCTTTTTAGAGAGAAACCACATGGATAACTGTGAACTTTTTTGATAAAGGAGGCTCCTTGTCACTTGCATCAAGACTCTCTGGCAAAACTGTAATCGGATTTCCATGTTTAGTTTCAAATGATGTGATCTGAACATGCTTTGCTGGAGGAGAGGGGAATGAGAAGCTGCACATTATAAACTGGAATCAGTCAAGCAGAGAATAATGTCTGGAGACGAAGCTGTCTCAAGTGCAGAGAAAGCTGGTGTAATTGGTGCCCTGCATCTCCGCCGCTCCTGGAATTTTCTGAGCTGCTGAAACAAATTCTTTATTTAACTGTCTTTTGCTTTTTTATGTTGAACTCTGCTGGAACCGCTACATATAACTCAATTATTCATTTAAAATATCTAGATGTATAAGAACACCTGGGCTGTCTTGTGAAAAGCAATTAAAGTTTTCCCACTAGGAAGGCATAGATGGGTAATAAGGTGTTTTCATTTGGAACAAAGGAAAACTTTAATACGTTATAAATACACTAAATGTACTGGTGGACTTGTGATTGAGACATTCTAGTCATCAGTCAAGCCATTTTCTAACTAATTTGATTAGATTTTTATTTTAACCCTCTGGAGGCAGGTGTAGCAGATTTGCAACAGTTAAAACCTACCTACCTGGTTACTCCACATACGTATTTCATGAGCATTTTTTTTAAACTCAGAAGTACTCCTGAAGGACTTAGTTGTTCGTCCTTTTATCAAAACTTATTTTGAGCCCGAGGGGGTTAATGAAAAGCTAAATGGAGCAAGTTTACTTAATGTCATTAGGAATACATAATCTGAGAGATAATATTATAAAATTACATGAAGTTAAAATAAAACAATCCTAGATGATGCTTACAATTAAAAGCACCCGTCTTTAGATGCAACTGATGATTTAGCGAATAAACTAGAGCTGTTTTAGTCTCTTTATCTTGTTAAAGCATTAAAAGATACTTCAATGAACAAAACCCAATTAAATTAAAATGTAATAAAAATAAATAAATAAATAAAAACAAGTGGATAATTTACAGAAAATAAGTTCTTCTGATAGATATAATTTTCTTTATAACCCATTTAAATGGCAACATTATGATCTCATTTACCTAATATGTCTAATGGCATTTGCATAGATCTAAAACATGATGCAGCTCAACTATTATAATCCTCAATGTGAAATATTTTAACAAGAAGATGTTTATTAAAAAATAAATAAAATGTTTGACCAGATATGCCAACGTCTGAATGATCTAACGCCTACTGATGATGATATCATTATAAACATAGTGGTGTGACTTGCCACATGGTTTGTGAAGCTAAAACATCTGAAGAGGGGGTGAACAGAGGAGAGAACTGAGACTGATAAAAAAAATTAACTTGGCATCCGCATAAATCCAATTCCTACCAAAGACATGAAGAGCAAAAACAAGTTTTTTCTTTTTTTTTAAAGATCTGCCTAATGCTCCTTTTACTCCTGTTTTGGTGTGTTTCAATGGCAGCATTTCTACCTCACATCCAGGTCTGGCATTGCTCCTGCACCATTAGGGGTCATTTTCAGTCTTTTAATGGATGAGGACGTTTCTAGAAACTGTTTGTTTACACGGACATTCTTACAGTAAAGATGTCTTTGGAAAACACTTGCCATACTGCTGAATAGAGATCAACGTTTGGGAGAAAGCACATATTTCAGCAGCTGAAATGAAACACTGGAAAAGAGTAAATCATGACATGTTCCTATGATTTCAGGGATTTGGGAATGTCTTGATATGGACATTTTAAACTATGCAACTGAATAAAAAGCCACAAAACAGATCCATGTTTTTCACTGCATGGTTTTCATTTCCCACTAGAAATAAAAAAGAAAAGAAAAGTAAAAACATCAGAGCTTTTCTCTTTCGTCTCACTGAAGAGAATACAGACTATGGCTGTGCCTCCTCTCTGTTGACAGGTAAATCAGTGTCTCGTTGAAGATGAAAGGACTGTAGCCTTTAAAAACAAAGAACAGAACCACTTCTCTCTGCTTGTTTTTTGTTTTTACACACACACACACACACACACACACACACACACACACACATCTACGCACACTCGTCGGTTGGCTGGGTGGGGCTCTCTGTAAATTTGTTGTAATGAAAATAAATTGCTGGAGCCATTCTTCACAGCATTGAAAAATAATGTCTGTACAGCTTCTGGTCACAGAGAGCAGCTCAGCCTCATTCTGCACCGAGTCTGCAGCAGCTGGAGGGAAAATAGCTACTCACATGACAGCATCTCCAGGAAGAATGATAAAAAGCCAATTCATGGGGGAAATATGAATTATATTTAGTTTGTTTTTTGTTTGTTTGTGGAAAAGCATCCTGTTGACAATCCAGCCAAGCATTTGATAAGTAATTATCAGTAACTACAGCTTTAACTGCACTGCAGAGCAATTCGTAACACGACCCTGAACTCAGCCTATTGTTTCCTTTGTTGTTCACGTGTGTGTGTGTGTGTGTGTGTGTGTGTGTGTGTGTGTGTGTGTGTGTGTGTGTGTGTGTGTGTGTGTGTGTGTGTGTGTGTGTGTGTGTGTGTGTGTGTGTGTGTGTGTGTGTGTGTGTGTGTGCGGGTGATTGTATGTCCACTTTGGAAGTTGGGTGCAGGAGGGGGAGTGTAATTGTCAATTGTCTTATACTTGGGGAGGGGGGCTGGGATGGGAATATGGGATCTATGGGGCCATTTTAATCTGTGAAGCACTTTGAGTTGCATTTTTTTGTATGAAAAGTGCTATATAAATAAAGTTGATTTGATTTGATTTGATAACCTTTAAAAGCCAGATTCAATTAATTGTTATCGTATCCTTTAGGTGATCCAGGGGATGGATGACATACACCATTCCTGGTGCAATAAGGTCAAATGTGGGCAAGGATGTGTGCAGACTCACCCTTTAGAGGTTTGGGAAGGAAGTGGGCTGCTGGTTTGTTCTTTTTGACGTGGTTTCCCTTCATGATTTCTCCTTCCTTGTTCAGACCGAGGTACCAGCCTCTGCCTGACTGCTGCCGGTAATGCATGGAGGAGTACGTCACATAGTAGTTCTCAAACACCGATTCCTTAAACTTGCACTCTTGTGTAAAGTGTTCCTGTTGAGAACAGAAAAGAACGTGCAGTTCAGAGCAGATGTTGGCTGGCTGTGATTAAACCTTTTTATGAACACAAACATAAATGCAGTTGGTTTTCATGTCCGAGTGCAGCTTTTTATGACAGCTCACACTCAGGCACTTAGAGATTTCAAATTTCTATCCCATGACAATCCTCTAAATCTATTCATCCCATTTATTGCTGTGAATAATGCAGCACTTTATGGCACAGATGATAGAGAGATGAGATTAATGAGGAGCATTAATAAAACACACAGGCCAAATGAATTGTACTCTTATTTGGGCCCAACTGTTAATTATGGATGAACTATCAGCTCTGTTGGATGGGAGGTCTTATCAGACACGAGCCTTCAAAGCTATTCGACTTTGAGGTTTATTATTTCATGGAAGAAAAAAACTTTACAAATGAAATAAAACAGCTATAAAATATTTGTAATTATTTGTGCTTTACAGAGAAAGTGTTTTGTTCTTTGATCTCTTTTTGCTTTTGCTTTTCTTGTTTACTAAAACTCAGATTTGTAAAATGACTTCATCCAGTGTCAGTGAAACAAAAGATTTTACATCTGTCTAATTCACAAACGCTCTCATAGGGTGATATTCCCACCTTATCCTGTGCTGCCAACCAAGCCGAAATTTCTACACTAATGCAGATTTAGCATATTTAAGAGTTTTTTTTATGTCTTTTAAAGTAAAATACACCTTCCTAATGTAAACTTTGCATTGTGTGAAAAAGCAACTAGTTTTTAAAGATGCATGTTTGAATTTCTGGAAATTAAATGAAGAAAAATATCAGTCAGCTGCACTGTGGCCCAAGACAAAATGGGTCAGGCATGACAAGAAAAGGATAAGTCATCCTCTCATTCAGTAATAAGTATCAGAAATTTTAGCATTTTCAAATATTAGTTGAAATGTGAAAACATTCTTGTTGTGATTTTATATCCAGAATAGACAACCTAATGCCTGAAATACAGTACAAAAATTGTTTAAATGGTATATAAACATAGGTATTTATGATATTATAATCAGTTTTATTTTACTATTTACATGTTTGAGACAAATTAATTGGCCCTTGGCACCTGTAAGTCCAGGTGTGGGACTAAATAATACAGGTTTTTTGATTAAATCCTAATATTCCCTCAGGAAGCTGAGGGGTTTGATGCTAATTTGTGACAATAGCTCACACAGGCAAAAACAAAAACTTCATGGTTATACATAGTTACAGCTAAAAAAGGTGAACATCCACAACCAACAGATTTCAAATGATTTATTATGGTTGATTATTATCATGTAACTTTTGTTTTTATTCTGTGATGAGGCACAGCTAGCTCTGAGAAAATACACTTTTTCTTTGTTTCAGTCAGAAAAAAACAAGTAAATGTCTTAAATCTGTTGAATTTCAAGAACATTGGTGCTTTCTGAATCTGATGTGGAAAATGAGATTGAAGGAACCAATGATGCACAAAACAGCAAATTGGGTGGAAATAAATGGAAATTGAAAAAGACGTGCAAGCTTTTGTAGGTGAAACATTGCCATATTGTGGTAAGTAAGCTGTTCACATTTCATACATCTACTACGTATTGTTGCCAATTTCTTAAGCATCCGTCTTTGAGGGAAGAACAGTGTTGCTGAGGTTTTTGTATGGCTCCAATATTGTGTAACTAAAACATAATTTAGTAATTTGATCCATCTCACTGAGTGTTCAGGGCAACTTTTGTAAATTAAAATGTTTATAATTCAATGCAAACACCACCATGATGCACAAGTGAATGCAGATGCAAAAGTTAGATGTGGAAACTTGATGAGAACAGCACGCTCTGTAAAATGTTAAATAAGTAAAAAAAGAACATTGATTCTTATTTCTGGTGTTTCAGGTGAACAGCTGTGATTACTGTTGCAACGTCAACCCAACATGGAAGTATGTGTAATTAAAGATGTTCCAATCGCCATTTTTGTGCTCCTGACTCGATTCAGTCATTTGATTTTGAGTACGCCGAGTCCCGATCCGATGGTTTTCAGGAAAGAAATAAAATGAGAAGAAAAAAAGGAAAACACATCCAAGTTGTCTTTTAAGTTTCACTTTTGCTTGTTTAGGAAGTGCATTGATAAAAAAAAACTTTACATTGATTAAAAAAAATATTATGAACATGTTTAAAAGTAGCATTGTTCATGTTTCTAATTGTTGAGCAATGCTCCCGTGACGGGGATGGCACGCAGCGTCTTGGCGTCGGCAGGCAGAATAACTTTCGTAAGCAATTGAGAGGTTCTTACATTTTATTTAATGAGCCGTTAGGCATGGGATTCCATAGGAAATATGAAATCCACCTTACGGATCGAGGGTTATTTAAACCAGAAGATGGGATCTTTTTATTGCAGAGATTAGGTAACCGTTATGTATTCACTCAGAGACACAGAATTGAGAGTCAAGTTTAAAAGTTAAGAATTTTATTACTGACAATTTAAACTAGCCTGACTTTAAACTAAATGTATAGTGTAACTAAAAATGGATGAGACAGTGAATGGATGACGTGGGATGTAATCAGAACCAGCAAATCCGAAGAAGCGATTAGTTCTGACGGGAACTGAAGATGTTGTTTTGAAATAAGCTTTGGTTAGTTTCAGAAACGCATGAGACACCATCAAGTCGGGTCTACGTGCCTTGTGGAAGTCCTCTGTAGATCAGGAATGCCGAGATCCAGCGGACCTTCTCTGGAAACCGAGCTGGTAGAAGAAGCCGCGGTTCCGACCAGACCCGTCTTGAGTTACCTCCGGCACACGAAACTTTTATTGGCATCTGTTCAGACCCAGCCTGGGTCGGTGGAGCTTTTATTCTGAAAGGAGCTGTTGTTGCCGCTGGTTGTTATAGCGACTGGATTTTTCAGCTTGTCGTTGGTTCTTTAGGTTAAAGAGTTGAAGTTCGGATTGGCCACTCTGACGCTTGCTCTGGAACGCTTTGAACTGACGTTAGAGCTGACGTGGCGTAGTTTTATACCTCGGATGTTATGTTTTATTGTCGAATGAAAATTACCAAACACCGTCAGAAGCACGCCTCCGTCAGATCTGTAAGATTCTGATTGGATCAGTGAAAGGAATGTGTCATGTCTTTTTAACACTACGTGAAATGAGTCCTGTTGGAATCCTTAAAGTCACATTACTTATTATTTCTATAGAATCATAATAAAGTAGTTAATATTGTGATTTCACAGGTTGGTCACATCTTTTTATTTTGACTAACACTTTGATGGATTAGCTTTATTAAAATAGAGTTCTTTGATTAATTAAAAGCAAATAGTTCATTCTTCGTTCTCCTGTCTTTATTGCTGGAACGTAAACAGTTTAGAAGCGAATGCATGACCTTGAGACTGTTTCATGCACTCTGGCACTGTGTTAAAAGGGAACAGTTGTTAGAGGATATAAATGGCTCCTTCATCACGTTACACTTTTCCCTGCATAACACCTGTTATGCAGACCTAAAAAAACCAAGGAAATTTCCTTCTGTTTATTGGTGTTTCTTTCTCTGTAGGCTGGATTTGTGTTTTTGTCTGAGTTTGATGTGAACTGCACAGTTAGTGGCAAACTGGGATTTAATGGAGATTTGCTTTGTTGACGCCTGGAGGGAAAAGCCGAAAGTGAAAGTATTCTGAATGCAGGGAATCATGGAGCTGTATCTTTTCCAGCATGTTGAATGCAGTGTGCACACATTACAAGTGGCTGTTGCTCTGCTGTTGCTGCCCAATTTAAAATACCACCAAGCTGAAGACATTTTAGCTCTCCTGAGGAGACACGTTAGATTTGTGTTAGCCTGCTTGCTAACAGCTGCACCTTGGTATCTGAATCCCTGCCTGCTGTGAATTGTGTGATGTTACTTTGTTGTTTTTGAACAAGAAACACATCATATTTATGTAGAGGGATGTATTGATGTAAAACAAAGCCATTGTTATTCCATTTGAAGATCTCTATCTCTGGATGAAGTAAAAAACAAATCAGGATGAACATCTGAACATGAAATATGTTGGCTTGACTTACTGAAGTCCAAATTGAGGGGCTCAAATGCAATAAAGTATTTAACAGCTGTGCTTAATTGCAAAAATAAATAATTAACAATTTTGAGTACCAGTCCACTGTAGTGACCATTATGCATCAAAGTGTTAAAAGACTAGTTTGTTGTTTTAAAAGGTTAAATCCTTATTTTTTTGTCCCAATCCTGATATTTTTGACCCACCCGATTTCTGATCATGTGATCCTATCAGAGCATTCCTAATAGAGCCCTTTTAAAAATACACACCGTGCAGGTGTCGGTACAAGATCTGCTCGGGTGCAAGATCGGCTCGGGGTCCGTCGACTGCCGGTGACGTCAAAGTAGTTGATTGGCTGAACACGAACCTTACGGAATTACGTAATCACGTTACATTGTTATCACGTTACGTTGGTCCAGGCAATTTTTTCTGTTGGAAAGATGGACAACTTTTACAAAGAAATCCATCATTACCTCTTTGAAAATACACTTTTAGCATAGAGCTGCATGTATATTAGGGCTGAACGATTAACTGCATGTGCAATTAAATTGCGATGTGACAAAAGGAGATTTTCTAATCGCAAAGGCTGCAGTTTGGCAGCGAGTGGTTAGCGCAATGCTAATATACGTGGAAAAACCCATAGGAATGCTGATGCTAATATCACCAATTACATTATTACAAATTATGAATTAGAAATGTGTCAAATTATTACATTTGGAGTCTAACAGAAAGTAAAACTACCACCAATCAAATAAGTACAGACAGGTATTTTAGTAAAGCCAGAAAGTTTTAAACTCCAGAGTTTTGGCTAGCAGCTATGAGCGTAACTGAACTACGCATGGACAAGACGTCAAAAACTAAACACAAAATACTTCAATAAACTGGACACACTTCTTTCCTGCAAAAACAATTTCACAGGTGTTGCTAATACCTATGATCCTTCAAGGGATGTGCTCAAAGAGGAGTTC